TTCTGATCCTGAACAGCTCAGTGGTGACTTTTCTGACTGAAGAACTGGTTGACTTCGGCTAGAATTCTAGGGGGGACATCAGTTCCTACAAGGTATCGCAGATATATGCTTGGTTAGTGGGCTCAAAGACTCCAGAAGATCTGGATTTCGCAGATGATTTATGCTTGATATCACACAAACTAGAAGACTTGCAGGCAGACGAAAACCAACAAATTGTCTGAAGAAGCAGCTAGTGAAGGCAAGACTCCAGGTGAACACGAGCAAAACGGAGATGATAAATAAGCATTAGAGATTTGACAGAAGTTACTTCCTGCCTTCACTTATCTGGCTAAGAAGCACGTTTTCAACCACAGGCAGCCGGAACGGGTTAAGATGTAGATATGATAGAGAAGATTTGTAGCTCAGGTGGATGATTTTGATGTAATTGTGTTCTCTGAGCTAGCTGAATAGTTAATTTGCGAAGCTTTCATCACCCTACTAGGCGACATCTTCAGCGCATACTTCAGTCTGTTGAAGTGAGCTTTTAGATTTCTCCACGAGTTTATTAGTCATCTCTCCTGATGGGTGACCTTGAACGTGATTGGTTGTTTTCGTGTGTTTTCACACCTTCTAGGCTACTTGTATTGGAACTGATTGTTTCTTTGACTTGAACTTTGACCCTTTGTGTGTGAGGTTTCTTTCTTATCGGTTGGTAAATTTTGTCTATCTCGATGTGTCTATCGACTGAAGATTCACTGGAATATCAGGCTTCTAAAAATTCTCTGGCTAGCATTCTTGGTGTTTCCTCTGTCTAATATTTGAACGTTGGTTGTCCCAGTCGAATTGATGTCCTTAGTTGTCTGTATTTAGTGATATGAGGGAGTGGATGTCATGTCTTTTGATGGCAACTTATGTTAGTGGATACGAAGACAAAGGGGACGTCCACATTGACCAATGTAGTGTTTTTCGCAGTTGATACAATTTATTTTGTAGATGATGTTGGTTTTATCTTCTTTCGCTGTTGAGTCTTTTGGTTGACATAGAATTGAGTGAAGTGACTTTGTTGGTTTGTGTACGACGTCAATTCCTAAAGTGTTTGAAGAGTCTTGTAGTGATTTCTGAGATATCCTTTATATATGGTAAGGCGATTTTCTTTGTGCTTTCCTTAGCCAGCCAGCCAGAATCTGAAAGGCAAGATACGCCTTCATCAAACTTCTGTTTTCACTCAGCCAAAATAAACAAGATTCTGATTTTCATCACATATATGAAGTATCAGTCAGTTCTTCTATACGGGTAAGAAACTTGCACTGTGTGTCACGAAAAGCATTTCCAACAAGCCACTGCAAACTTTTGTAAACGACTGTCTGCCTACTGAAGATCAAGAAAGAATTAATAACAAAAAACTCTGGCGATGAACAAACCAACTGAGAGCCAACTGCTCGACAAATATGTAGGCAAAAATGAAGATGGATAGGACATACACCACTGAGGAGGCCGTCGAATGACATTGCGCGAAATGCAGTCCATCGCCTGAATGGAAATCGAATGGGAAGCGACGAATGGGTCGTCGGTGCTAGGTTGACATGGAGAAGATCGTGTGTTGGGGAGAAGGAGATGAGAGATTATGGACAGTCTTGGGGTCAGCCGTGTAAGGGAGACAGCGGAAAACAGAAGAAAGTGGAGATGTGTTGTTCCAGGCCTATATTCCACTTGGAACTCAATGGAATAATAAAATATAATAAATAATGGACTCCAAACGGAAAAAGTACCTGGGAAGCATCGTTTCAACTACAGGTGGACGGAACTGACGAGGATATCAAAGCAAGAATCGGAAAAGCAAAACAAGCTTTCACTACTCTCAAGTCTGTGTGGAGGTCAACAGCACTCAGCATCAAAAATAAGATCCGGATTTTCAACTCCAATGTGAATTCAGTGCTACTATACGGATCAGAAACTTGGCGCGTCATAAAGAGCATCTCAAACAAACTACAGACCTTCATTAACAGTTGTCTTCGCTCAATACTCAAGATCAGATGGCTGGCCAGAAAAGATCAGCAACAGAGATCTCTGGAAGCGAACCAACCAACCAGGAACCGATTGTGAAACAAATATGCAGCAAGAAATGGAGATTGATTGGCCATACTCTAATGAAACCATCAAGTGACATCACTAGACAAGCCATTGCTCGAGTGGAACCCGAAAGGGAAGCGGCGAGTTGGTCGTCAGTGCAAGGGTGACTTGGAGGAGGTCATGTGAAGAGGAGATGAAAGCGTTTGGGCATACTTGGAGGCAGGTGAAGACTCTAGCAGGGAACCGAACGCATTGGAGACGCGCGTCTGAAGCCCCATGTTCCTCTAGGAATTAAAGGAAATAATAATAATAATAAACGGAAAAAGCTGCGTATCTTAGATTCTGATACTAATAACCTCCATCCTATTAAACCCTATTCTCTTTACATTGAAAGTGTTTGTTGTTCAGTATGATGATTGCAAGAAGAAAGCATCCAGACATCAATAATCTAGCAAAGTTTTTGTTCAGAACAAAGGCATAAGATTTACTAAATACCCGGATTATTTCAATTATTCAGTTACCTTTGTGATTAAGTCCCTTTTCAAATAATAAATGCTGTTTATACCAATGGATTTTTTGAAGTAACTGAAGACAGAAAAAGTAATGGACTTCAAAGGAAACAATGTGACATCAAAAACAATCTAAGGATTCTCTACTACTGTATATAAAATTGGTGTCTGGAATAAAACTATTATTATTATTTGAACAAAGCAAGAACAACAATTGTACCAGGATAATATGAGCTCATCTTTTATTGTTATTTCGAGGATTCTTCTCAACTGGTTACAACCTGAACGATAAAAAAATGTATGAATTACATTAAAGATTTGAATATACTTTTCCACGATCACAAGGAGTAATTGGTAGGAAGTAAAAGTAACATTAGTTAGGAATGATTTAACTAATTAAGAGTTACAAACACTGACTATTTACAGAATAATTAGACAATTAGGCTTGTGTGTGTATAGAAACAAAAATTGGCTAGAAAGAGCATAACAAAAAAGTAGACTACGTAACTAAAGAAAATGTTTTATCTAATAGCCAATAAAAAAGAAGAGAAAAGAAGAAGGTAGGGTGAGTCATGTTTAGATGAGGGAGTAGAGTTTTCTAAACAAGAAAAAGAGGGACTCATAAAAGTTGTATATTTTTTGTTATCACCAGGACAGTGCAAGATTCACCACTGTCTGTTTCTGCGTACACATAGATTTGGTTTAAGTCGTTTGATAACAATTGCTTCAGCAAAGCGTAGCAAGCTAGATTTCTTTTGCATGTTGATTATTTTGAATGACTTCAAGTTGTCTACAATATGACCAGTTTGCAATAGATGACGCGCAATTGCACTGTTTAATACTTGTGGACCTTTCAGTCTCAGGTTCTTTGGTATGTGTTCAGAAATGCGGACAATAACCCTTCTCTCTCTGTTCTTCCAATGTATGTGCTTTGGCACGTACGACATGTAAATTGGTCGACACAGTTGGAGGTAACATGAGGTGGGTATTTGTCCACTTTTGATTGTCTCAAACAACTAGTTGTTTCAATATAGCAAAAATATTCATTCAGACATCTATAAAACACAGAATAATTGAGCAAAGAATATCCCCCTTTCGATAATTTCCTCTTATGGCTCTACAATTATATTATATATATATATATTGTACATTTATATACATAGAATATTCTAGAATAGTAGTCAATAACAATATTGGTGCTTTTTAAATAATATCGATTTGTTAAGTAAGATCAATGGTATTACCACAGTTCAAGAAAGATACATAAATTATAACAATAATAATATAATAGCAAATAGAATATCAACTAAAATTAAGGAAATTTTCACAACAAATTGAGGATCATTCGAACCTAGATGGCCAGTGGGGTAAGGACAATGTCTGAACTAGCTTCTTCCGGACACATAAATTAGGCTTCTTAATGTGAATCCCAACAGTCATCCTCAGCAATATTTAGTAAACGAACTCTTCAGACGAAGTTAAGATTTGTTGGTATGCGGTAAATGACTTTGAAAGCTGTCTCGTTGACATTAATCTTGTGTTCTGTATCCACAAGATGAGATAGAATAGCGCTACGAATAGATTTTGTTTGTCCTTTACTTAACCACCATGCAGGGTGATGTTCGGAAATCCGACGAGAAACACGCCTAATTGTACGGCCTATGCAACTAACTGGCTCACTCCACAGGAGCAGTTAAATTGTTAGATACACATGGAAGAGGCGAAATTAGGCAGTTTATCTTTTACTCCCGAACGCAAAATAGGGGTGGGTGGTTTTGAAGACACAGCGTAATTCAGCAGCAGGGAATATATATATTTTACCGCATTTCTAAGGCGTTGTGTTAGGATCTCGCTGATGTTGTCCCCAAGGAACTGGATTTGTAAGAATAAGGCCCTTTTAGGAACTATTTGTACCTTTGGTTGCTTTGATTTTAGATTCATATTCTAATCGGTGAATTTTTCTGAATAACCGTTTTCACTCAGCAACCGTTTAATAATCTTAAGTTCCTCATCAAGGCATTCCTCCGAGAAGAGTGCTCTTGCTCTATGGACCAAGCTCTTTATCAGATTGCGTTTCTATTTCATCAAGGGCACGAAGCTGAAAGGATAAATAGACAGTGATAAAATATCCTGTCTAACTAATTAACTAAGTTGATTGAGTGTGTGTGTGTGTTTGTGTGTGTGTGTGTAGTAGAATGAAATTAATATATCTACTCAAGTGTCTTCCTCAATTTTTTATTCGCCATTTCCCTCCATCACTTTAGCATCAGAATACTCAAATATTATTTGGGATTTTTTTTTTGAATAACGTTTTTTTCACCACTCTTACATACAATCCACCAATCACATGAAGCGTATACATTTCTCATCTGGTTCTATCAATTTTCCTAGACTCCATGATATAAAATAAAAGAGTAGATAAGACTTTTTAGTTTAATTTAATTTTTATTCTATTTAAGAGTTAATATTTCCAAATTCATCAGTTTTACAACAAAAAATATACAAAAAAAATGATAATTATGACTGAAAATTTAATTGAACCGCCTTTCCCAATTGAATATTGAACAAGGTTAAAATGGTATACATGAACAATGAAATGTGTATGAATCACGTGATGTGAGTTTTTGAATTTATTTTATTGATTCGTGAATTTAATTGTGCTTACTACTATTATATCAAAACAAGTATTTTATCATTTTGAGAATTGTTAATTTGAAATGGACATTGAAAATTGTTAGTTTATGGCCTTCATTGATTGCAGCTAACTTAAATGGACTTATATGACTCTTCAGGTTTAAATTCGATATTTATCCCCACTAGTTAAACAATGCATGAGTGCTCATCGGTGGAGATTATTGTCTTACCGACTTAAGGAATCCTTTTTCATTCACTGAAACTTGAGTTCAAATCACTCTCCGCCAAGTTCAACTTGGACAAGTAAGGAGTATCACCAGCCGTTGCACAATAAGTGTAACCTATAGTCTTGCACTGAGTAAACGTATTCTGGGTAGCTGAGTCCTAGCAAAGCTGATGTACTTATGCTAACAGCTGGTTTGTAAACTATCTACTTGTGCAATCGACTTTTGACATAACTGGCCACTAGCTTATGGTTCCTACCTGCCCGATCAAAACTCTAGTTCACTAGTCTTCAGAAGCCTGGTAGACAAAACCTCACATCTAACCACTTCTGTATGTATATGTAAGTCTATTTATCTCTGTGCGGTCAGGTATATTGGTCGTTCCACACATATCCTGTCTAAAAAGGTTCAAGAACACTATCCTGCATGTTATATATATCCAGACCAAGTGCACACTTCAGTTTACAGTGCATACTTCAATCTGTTGAAGTGAGCTTTTAGATTTCTCCACGAGTTTATTAGTCATCTCTCCTAGTGGGTGACCTTGAATGTGATTGGTTGTTTTGTGTGTTTTCACACCCTCTAGGCTACTGATTGTTTCCCTGACTTGAACTCTGACCCTTTGTGTGTGAGATTTCCTTCTTATCGGTTGGTAAATTTTGTCTATTTCAAGGTGTCTATTGATTGACGATTCACTGGAATACCAGGTGGGCTTCTAAAAATTCTCTGGCTGGCATTCTTGGTGTTTTCTCTGTCTAATATTTGAACGTTGGTTGTCCCAGTCACACTGATGTCCGTAGTTGTCTGTATATAGTGATATGAGGGAGTGGATATCATGTCTTTTGATGGCAACTTATGTTAGTGGATACGAAAACGAAGGGGACGTACATTTTGGCCAATGTAGTGTTTTCATGGACATCAATTCGACTGGGACAACGTTCAAATATTAGACAGAGGAAACAACAAGAATGCTGAGAGAATTTTTAGAAGCTTGGCATTCCAGTGAATCATCAATCAATAGATGTGAAAGAGCAACTAAGACTACAAAAAACAGAGTTTCCAAGTTATGGAGTTACCCAATCCAATGTTACGATTATGAAAAATAAATTGTGTTCGAAACATAATACAGTAAATTTATACCCTTCTGAGTGTGTTGTGTTTCAGGGTTTTGACTGACTTCAAGTTTCATCAGTTAGGGAATCGTTAAAATTCAGGGAATACTGGAAAGCTGTGTCTTCCTAGCCAGTGGAATACGCCAAGTCAAGTGTAAGGACAAATACTTGCCGACAACATTTTCTAGAGGTGACAGAATTCAGAATTCATAGGCCATGGGATTCGTCACGTATCATGAAGGTTTAGTGTTCGATCCCAATGAAGCAGTCATGGGTGCAAACTGGTGAGGAGTCCAAAACGAGGACAAACCACATTGGCCTAGTATTATTCCCTGGTATTCAACAACTTTATAGATGATGTCTGTTCGTGATCTAACTAATAATGTTTCAATAATTTAATAATTCCCACTGTAGCAATAAGAACACAATATTCAGCGAAGAGACTCTTTTCAACAGCGAATTTGTTATCAAGCTGTACAGTCGTATAGATATGGTTTTTTAAGAAATTATATCCGGTGAGGGAATTAGGCCAAAGGTGTGAATACATTAAGTAATAATAGTATGAAATGTAATTAAAATGTTTGTGATTATAATCATAGTTAAATGTCAAGTAGCAAAACAATTAATGTCATATTTAGAATAATATATAAGGTGTATAGATGTTGGAAAGGGGTGCATAATTATAGGATTAGTAGGCGAATATAAAATGTTACATAACATGGTGTGAAATTTGATAAAATAGAATTCAGTATTGTAAAAACAAAAAAATAATAATTTTGGATTTAGAATGACAAGTGGGACAAGTGGAAACAATTCAGAGTGAGAATAGTGATGATAATAATGATAATAACAATCGTAGTAATGAGGGAAAGGTACATAGAATAACTAAATAAACAAAATAAATAAATGTCTATCCCTCTACGGCCAAGACAGAAGTAGGGATTGTACATACTTCTTTTGTACACAAAGGTATGGCTTAAAGTCATGAATTGCCAAGGCCTCCGCTGTCTTTAGAAGTCTGTAACGAAGAAAACGCGACCAGCAAGTTAGCATGGATTCGGTATATGATCTTAAAATCATGGTCAGGGTTGACAGAGTTACAGGAGTGTTCTAGAATAGAGCCTCGCACACACTTCCTTTCTCCTTTGTAGAACCATGTGGCTGGAATATGTTCTCGTATCCGTATGGAAAGCGGCGTTCGCTGACTACGGACAATATACCTTGCTCCACAAGAGGAGAAGGTGAACTGATATATGCACATGGAGGCGGCCAGACGGGGGATCTTATCGTTTACAGAGATGGAGAACAACTTGCGGCTGGTGAACGTCATTTGTAATTTCGCTGCAAGGAACGTCTTACTGACTGCTTTAGAGAGACGGTTTTTGAGCATATCTGAAGCTTGATCACCTTTGAATTCCAAGTTCATGAATAAGGTTTTCTTTGGAACTGAGTCGGTGACCAGTTTAGACTGCTTATCTTTCATGTTACTGTCAATAAATCGGTTCGGGTAACCGTTTTAAGAATTCAAGTTCTGAGTTAACGCAATCAGAACTACAAGTGTTTCTTATCCTAAAGCAGAGCGAATGAATTGAGTTCCTTTTCCTGGAGATAGGCACCCAACTATAAAAATTAGTTAGTTGTCCCTTCCATGTACGTTTCCGGTAGATAGATCTTTTGAGAGATCCATCATTACGTCTACTAAGGCAAACATCAAGAAACGGAATACTTAGTTCAGATTCCTTTTCTATGGTTAAATTGTAAAGAAGGATGGCAGTTGTTGAAAGCAAACAAGACATCATCAAGAATTACATTATTATCATAGATAACGAAAGTCTCGTCTACATATCTTCTAAGTTGAGAATTTTCAAGCTTTGCCATAAAACAATCAGTGATTATAATGTTTCATTTTGTGTGATCTATATTCCAGTATAAACGCTGAGATGGTGTCTTAAATTCAGTTCACATCTGATCTTATTTTACATATACGTATATATATCCATTACAACAGTTAAACAGTAACAGTATACCTACCCTTTTTCAATACTTATTTATGGATACCATTAAACTTGTAAGAAAAATGTAGCAAACTTGTGTAGGCCTTTTGAAAAAAATGATAAAAAAAGGTACATACTCCTTAGAATGAATAGCTAACTAAGTAGAAAACGTTTTCTCCTCGGTAATTTTCATTTTTTTCTCTCTCGTAATCATCTGCTACACACACAGAAGAGGAAAAAGAGAAAGTGCAAACTGTTGACGTCAATAGTCAAATATCGGTAAATCATCTATATTTAATCTAAGTTTAACACCAATACACTCATCGTAAATACAGGTACATACATACAACTGATGAATTCCAAATGTGAACCAAATACCATTATGTTCACCTGAAAGACATCTTCGATGCAGATAAGCTAATTATTATTGTTCCCTTGGGTTCCTAGTGGAACATAGGGCTTCAACTGCACGTTTCCACTTGTTTCTGTCTTCTGCTGTACTTTTCACTTGCATCCATGTTAGTCCATACTGTTTCAACTCTTCTTCACACGATCTCCTCCATGTCACCCTTGGACGTCCCACTCACCGCTTCCCTTTCGGGTTCCACTCGAGCAATGGCCTGACGCACGATGTCACCCAACGGCCTCCTCAGCGAGTGTCCAATCCATCTCCACTTTCTCCTGCATATTTGTTGGGCGATTGGTTCTTGTTTTGTTTGTTCCCATAGTTTGTTTCTTGTTGGTGATTCTTTCCGGCCATCTGATCTTGAGTATAGAGCGAAGACAGTTGTTGATAAAGGTCTGCAACAGGCTGTTGGAGATATTCTTTGTGACCCGCTGGCCAAGTTTCTGATCCGTATAGAAGAACTGACTGACTTGACGTTTGTATTGAAAATCCGAATTTTGTTGTTTATGCAGGCTGAGTGACGAAGATTTCCAGATTGGTTTCAGGTTGATGAATGTGTTTCTCGCCTTCCCGATTCTCGATTTGACATCCTCGTCCGTTCCTCCTGTAGTTGAGACAATGCTCCCTAGATAAGTGAATGAAGTAACCTCTTTCAAATCCCTTCCGTTGATGGTGATAAGATAATAAGATCTAATAATTCTATGACTGTCTTCTGTATTAGCATATGTGTTGATATATGAGCCAATGCTGTAATTACTTTTAAGTGACTTAAGTTTTAGCCAGTTTCATCGAAAAGTAACTGGCCACCAAGGATCTGAACATCCTATATATGAAAGAAATAGAGAAGAAGGGCTGTTATACGGATAATGTGACACATATACCGGTGATTATTAGCAAGCGAGGGATAATGTTCTCTAAAACAGAGAAGGCCCTTAAACAAATCCTCGAAATACCCAAAACCCGAATCAGCTGGCTGTGTGAGCAAACTATCATAGGTTCGCTGAATGCTACGATACATATGTGCAACGGTAACCCACAAGCAGAGTGACTCTCTCAACTTAAAATCAACGTTTCTAGTGAATAATTGATTACTAGGTTTCTGACTCAATTCTTTCGATATCCTTTCTTTACCCCTTTTAACTTATAAAATATCATAAACCAAAAAAAACCCAAAAAAACTTACAAAATCATTAGAAAACCAAAAAAGAAAATTCAACTAAAATAACGGCGTAAGTGGTGTGTTTGT